GGGGGGCGAGGAGGGGTGGCATCTTTTCTGTAGTCGAGCGGACGCAAGATTTCGCAACTGTTTTTTCATAATCTAGATTTTACCAAGATTTGACTTGACTTACGTCAAAACCTCCGCAATATAGAGCATTGTCGTCATAGTTGACAGGAGTATTGAACCCATATCTCCACATGGTCGACCTTGCCGGCGGGTCGATGAGGCGTCCATGACCTTGAACGTGAGAAAACAGCACCGTCGCCAAGGTTACGGTCAGGAGGAAGCGATGAGCAGCAGCCATTGCTGGTGTCTTCAGACTGTAGTTGTTGTCGGAAGCAGAGGGCCTTGAATATGTTGTGTTCTCTCTGAAACAATACAGAAAAATGGTAGTAATGATAATAATAATAATAATAATAATAATAATAATGATAATAATAATAATAACAATAATAGTAGATTACTTTTATATAGCACTCTATCCCATACAAGTATAAGTTGTGACCGCTTTACACTAATCACATGATCATTCACACAAGAAAAAATATTTCACAAAAACAAGAAAAACCAGTTCAATTACATAAAGAAGAACTTTCACAACCATAATATATATTATTAACTATACTACATGAAAGGACACACACACATATATACATGTACATTTAAAAATCAGAACTTACTAACACACTATAACTATAACTGAACAAACAGAAATGAGCACATGTTTTCTCTCCACAGGGGCTAGCAGGCATACGACCAGCGTGTTGTAAGCATTCTTTTCTAAACAGAAACTTTTGGAACAAAATGCGAGGCAGCGTGATGAAGTCATGTAGGCTACTCATCAAAATAACGAAATCTTAGAAACAGGCATTTTTCCGCCAGTTTGGAAATTTTTAATCAAATTAACAAGTTTCGGCTTAACCTCTTGTATGTCCATATAAAAACCCATTCCCATGTGAATTTTACTGAAAAACATTGATTAAAGGCACACTTTGTGTCATTTTTCAGTTTTCATAGACCCTTTAGCTATTGGAGTTACCAAACTCTGGTCTCCCATTCGGTCAGTCGTCATGAGCGTATAGGTCAACAGCTGCGAAATCTTTACCCTAGAACCACAATTCGAAAATAATCTTTTCGTCTTAATTGACTGTGCTTTTCGCGATACTATTCATCTTGGCGCACAGACGCCATATACAAAAAGTAAAAAGTAAGATTTGTTCCCGTATTCGATCCGGACATTGGGGATTGCCTTGTTAGTGAGGGGCCTTCGGCATAATATTGTGGTAGGGAGGCTAGTTCCTTTCCAGGCGGTCTTCACTTCCCCAACTCGAAGTCAGGTACCCATTACTGCTGGGTGGGCAAAAGAGGGGGCGAAAATATCCGTGTCCGAACCGAGGCTCGAACCCGGTTTCTCCGCTTCGGAAACGAGCGCGTACAAAAAGTACAGTCCTTGAATTGTCAGTTCGTTTTGAATGTCCGTGGCAGCTCCCCACCTTCCCAGCTGATCTCTCCATGAATCGAGACTCGTGAGTCAAGAACGAAGAGCTTTAAATTTTGTCAAAGTTGGCAATTTACTCGCCACTGTACAAACGTGTGTGATCAAAGGCTTTCGTCAACTTTCTAGTGCTATCCTCCAACATTTTACCACCCCCAGGTCATTTGAAAATACAACGATAATGTGTAAAATTTGGAAAAGACTTGTCATACCAATCACTGCTATCCTTATTATCGAAATGGGAGTCAGCCGGAATCTTTCACCTTATAAGAGATGGGGTACAAAAAGATACAGTTCTTGGTCTACGCATGGTTTTTCGGATCACGCAACTGACATGTTTCGCTAGGCCGACACTGAAGGGCAAACAACTTTACAATAACTTACAGTTTTGTTGGGTCGACTAACAAAAATCTTGCTTCAGGCAATGTTGTTTTAAACTAACATGACTGTTCAAAACCTGTGTCATTATTGTATTGTTCAAAGTATTTGTGATTTTTTCTTCAGTTGTTTGTGTTGTTCAAAGGTACATTAATCTTTCCCCTGTTTCAGAATCGCTTCACTGACTGTGTAGGGACCAAAGTTTATTTTGTTGGCTACTGTTACATTTGGGGGTGTGGTGGCGGAGCGGTTAGGGAGCTCGTCTCCGAAGCGGAAAGTCCAGGTTCGAACCTCGGTTGGGACACCGATTTTTGTCTCCCCCTCCTGCCCACCCAGCAGTAATGGGTACCTAACTTCGAGTTGGGGAAGTAAAGGCAGCGTGGAAAGCAACTGACAACCCTACCACAATATCCCGAAGGCCCAGGAAGTTGTCTTACTAACAAGGCAATCCCCAATGTCCGGATCGGATGCGGGAACAACTTTGCTTTTTACTGTTACATTTTTTCTCCCCCCCCCCTTTTTCCTCTCACCTTTTGCCCCTCATTTCCATTAATGTAATGGCACTCTGCCAGTGATAGCTGACGTTTTGTTTGTTTGGGAAAATGTTTCGCCGCATCCCCCCCCCCCTAAACCAGTTCACGTTTGGTTTTGTTTGTTTTAGTAAGGTTTTACAACACTCACAACGGTATAACGTCGTATGACGTTTTGGCACAACAACATTGTCGATGAAACTAAAGACGTTAGTAAAGTGTTCTTTTCAGCAATGGTTAAGGTTTTTAATTACTCGCATTGAAGGAAGAAAAAAAGTGTTTAAGAAAGAAGAGAATAGAAATTTCACAAATCCAACGTCCCCCAAGGGGCCCGAAGGTGGCTGAAATGTGATGGTAGGGGGTGGAATCTCTACGTTTTATCGTATACATTTATTTACTTTTCAAAGCAACCTCAAATAACGACATTATTGTAATGAAATTCTTCGCCACGGTGACTGCCCTACATGACACGGATGATGGAATGTGCTAACAACACAACACCCAATCACAAATGGCTACTATCAATGAAAACTTCTTCCAAACACATCAAATCGTTGTTCTGGACTGGTCTGCAAGATCCACAAGCCTTAACCCAACAGAACATATGTAAGATGACCTTGACTGGAGGATTAGAAACAGGCCGCACTCCGTACAAACGTGTCAGGAACTGAAGGCTGCACTACACAAGGAATGGCAGGAGATTCTTCAGACAGCTAAAAGGACTTCAATTCAGTCAATGAACAGATGTTTTGTATCAGTAACTCAAGCTGGAAGAGGCCACACGCCAAACTGAGCAAACTTTTATTTGGATTTTGCAAGAGTCAGTGTGAATAAAATTATCTCCCTTGAATAAGGAAAGACATTTGTCCATTCGTTTTATGTCATGTTGGCAGAAAATGAATAAAGATCGCGTGTACCAAATTTCTCTTGGCTATGTTGAGTAGTAAATGAGTTATTGTACTTTTAAAGTGGGAATGACAGAACTTTTGCAATTCGGTATATAATCACAGAATAAAAAGTAAAAACGATTGGTTGCATGTAACTTGTTTACGCTAATGAGATTGGCGTAACTGTGGGAAGATGTGTAGTACCGGAACAGCGTCAAAAGATCCCATCTACAGCACCGTTCAGCTTCACATAGCACAGTTTGGCTCTGTGCAGGACGAGTATCTCGCCAGGGGCGATAAGTACTCTGTTTACCATAACACTTTATCTGACACTTTCTGATTCTCTCCCTTACTTTGATCCCGCGGGCTTTCCAGGTCTGGCCTGACCAGACGACGCGCCAATGTAGGTCACGTCTGAGCTCCCACGTCGGAGGCATTGGCGTTTCCCAGGCTTAAGACTCTGGTCAATCTAGGTCGTCCATGGAAAGTACCATCTTTATGATCTAATAACTCACTACAAAAGTAGACGAGTTTACACCTGGACCAAAACATAATAATTTATAAATAACGGATACGCTTAAATTATTTTCTTTTTTTAAATAAGATTTGTTCCATATGGTCGCTTTTAAGCACAATGGGGCAATGCCGAAAAATGCTGTTTAGAGATAATCGAAAGTAAAGTTCTTGCCCCTTGTTCAGTTTCTTTAAAAGACCTGAAGAGTTTTCTCTATAACCAAACAAATATACTCACCAATGAATCCAAACTTCTCCTATAGGTAGGGTAATGCCCACTTTCGGTATAGGTGAAGATTTCGGGAAGCCCCCTAAATCTGGGGTAGCTCGCTTTTCCTTAAGGGACTGATTTGCATCATACAAGAGACAACATAATACGCTAGATTCAGACTGCTTTATTTGCTTCACTATTTTCCTCGAGCCAAACATAACGACAGAGTGACAAGAAAACGAAGGGTTTGAGTGGACGCGATTAGGGTACTCAGTCTCTGATTTTTCTATGTCTACTTCATAGAATTTTAACTGTAGTTCAGGGGGTGGGAGGGAGGGGGTGGTTCTGTTTTCCAACATGTGTTTAGAGTCTCTTACCTTTCTTCCAAAGAAATCTGTGGAGAATCTTTCAATGTCTGTACAGCAGTCTCTTTTGTGACTGAAATTGTTACCGATGGATGCAATCAGTTTGCAGATGAAGATCGACTATACCCTCTGTGAGTCTATAAACGTCTGTACCTCTCTGTCTAGCAGTGTTCAAGCAACGTCCAGCTTTTAGTTGTCTCAAATCCACACACCAACAGAGTATATATATATAGAGGTCCAAGCTCTTTGTACATTCTGATACCCTCTACGAGTGACCTCACCGCTATTTCCTGCTCTATATCTGTCCCCGACAACACATAATTTCCTTTCTTGGCGAGCGTTCACTCTAGGGAGATTAATTTCTGTTTGAATCCCCTTTGACGTCAATATTCTTTATCTTGGCGACATCACTTTCCTGACAGGAAACATGCCTTTGTATATGATGATATCTATGTCACCGTTGACAACAACAACTGCGCCTTTTTATCTTGGACGGTCTACAAACCTACTTTTACTTTAAACTGTACCATGCTTTCATTACTAGCTGAACATCGAGGGGTTTGTCCACCTAAATAAATCAATGATGATCCCTGCATCTAGATCTCTGACCCCCCCCCTCCCCCAAGCTTTCCCCCTCTTTCCGTCAACC